GGTTAAGGACTGGCTGCTCTTGCAGAGGACCTGGGTTTGGTTCCCAGCACCCACATGGCAGCTAACAACTGTTGGTAACTCCAGTTCCAGGAGCTCCAACACCCTCTTCTGACCTCCATAGGCATTACATGACATGGGTGCTCTTATATACATGCAGCCAAAACACTCATATACATTAAATAAATAAATAAATAAATAAATAAATAAATAAATAAATAAATAAAGCAAAAGGCTGGGAATGTTTGCTCACACCTTTAGTCCCAGTACTCAAGAGGCAAAGGCAGGTGGAACTCTGTGAGTTTGAGGCCAGCCTGGTCTACACAGTGAGTTCAGACCAGCCAGGGCTGCACAGTGAGACTCTGTCTTGAAAGAAAGAAGGAAAGGAAGGAAGGAAAGAAGGAAGGAAGGAAGGAAGGAAGGAAGGAAGAAGGAAGAAAGGAAGGAAGGAAGGAAAGAAGGGAGGAGAGGGAGAAAGGAAGGAGCTCATATACCATCCAGTTCAGTGGGTTATGTCTGGGGTAGTGAGGCATAAGCTAGGAAAAGAATTGGTTAATATCAATAGATGGATATTGTTATTACAGTTGTTTGTAGCCCAGGCTGGCCTGGAACTCATTATGTAGCTGAGGATGACCTTGAACTCTAATCTTGCTGCTTCTATGAACACAGTGTAGGGATCATAGGCCTGTACCACCGTGCTCTGCCTCTCCCACTTTTGGGCCTCTAACTCTTCCCTCCCAGGCCACAGCATTGGGGATGGCACCCAGGTCTTCATGCACGCTATGCAAGCACTCTACCAACTGAGTTACCTCCCTAGCTTGCTTAATATTGTTTCTTGAGCTAGGTGGTGAGTTCACTAGCCAATATAATGAAATACAATAATAACTATACTTAGGTGATGAGACTATATCAGGAATCCAGGGTCACCACTAACCCAGTTCTGCACATCGGGAGTCCTGTCACAATGCATAAAAATACAGTCTTCGCAGAGTGGCCTTGGTTCTGCTTAGCTTTCACTTCCTCCCACAGCCCCGCCAAGGGGGTCACTGCAACCTTTCCCTTGGCAATCGGGGTTAGTAGCACAAGGCCACCGGAAATGAACTGGGGGGGAGGGGTGGCTGTGAGGCCATATCTGCTCCAACACTGATCTCGATAGGGCCTTGTGGTGAGGGTTTCCTAGAACCAGCAGAGCAGTTAAAGAAACTGAGCAACACTTACAAGAAATTCGCCCTGCCCCGCCCAACCCCCACCCCTGGGCCCCTTTCTCTCCCACTTTGGGGCCTCTAACTCTTCCCACCCAGGCCACAGTGAAGGACTGTGTGTGTGCAGGAGGTGACAATGGTTATTTCTACAGAGCAGAGCTGCTCTGATCTCTAAACCCTGGAGCCAGAAGGTGTCTAGTGATGGATGCCTCACGTACTCTAAAGCTGTCAATCCATTAGCACCTGCAAGGGTCTGCAGTTCCGTCCCAGGAAGGAAGAGAGAAAGTGTCCCTTCCTAAGAGAACGGCAAGGAGCATGGATAATTTGGATGCAAATTCTAAAATTCTAACCTGATTACTTCTTGGCATATGACTTTGTGTTTTGTTTTTGGTTTTTGTGGGTTTTGTTGTTTTGGTTTGGTTTGGTTTGGTTTTTTTTGAGACAGGATCTCTCTGTAACCCCACCTGGACTGGAACTCGCTGTGTAGACCAGGCTGGCCTCCATCTCACAAAGATCTTTCCCCCTCTACCTCCCAAGTGATTAAAGGTGTGTGCCACCGCACCAGGCCTGTTTTCATTTTTTTGAGACAGAGTCTCAAGTGGCTGGACTGGAATTCAAAAAAAAAAAAGCAAAATTAAATAAGGGACAATAAGGACAGAAGGGGGACAAAAGAGGGTAATGGGAGACAGGGGGTAAATATGAGTTTAAAAACTACATACATATTGGCCAGGCTTGATGGCACACTCAACAGAGATCTACCTGCATCTGCCTCCAGAGTACTGGCATTAAAGGCTAAAGGCATGTATTACCATGCCAACCCCTTTTTATGAAGGAGCGTTGAAGTTTATTAAAGATATTTCAAGGACAATGAGATCGTTCAGCAGGTAAAGACATTTGCCATCAATCCTGACAATGTGAGTTTGATCCCTGGAGCCACATGGTCGAAGGGTAGAATTCACTTTCCTGGGAATTGTCCTCTGACCTCCACATCCAGGCCATGATATGTATGCGCTGCACTGAGTGCCCTTCCCCCATAAACAAAATGTAATTTTTTTTGACATGGTCTCCCTGTATCCCCAGCTGGCCTAGAACTTGCTATGGAGACCAGGCTAGCCTCAAACTCAGAGATCTGCCTGCCTCTGCCTCCCGAGTGCTGGGACTAAAGACGTGCGCCACCAAGCCTGGCCTTGAATACAGATTTTTAAGAGAGATCTTATTTTGGGTTGGATATAGATGGTCCATACCTGTAATCCCAGCACTTGGGAAGCAGAGGCAGGCAGATCTCTGTGAGTACAAGGCCAGCCCGGTCTACATAGTGAGTTAGTTCCAAGTCAGCCATGGCTACATAGGGAGACCCTATCTCAAAAAACAAAAACAAAACAAAAATCTAATTTTATTTTTAATTATGTGTATCTATGAGTATATGCATAGATACATACGCAGGTGCCAGCAGAGGTCAGAAGCATCAGATCTCCCCTGGAGCTGGAGTTACAAGTGGTTGTGAGTTGCTCAACATGGGTGCTGGGAACTGAACTTAGGTCCTCTGGAAGAGCTTTATACTTTTAACTACTGAGCCGTCTCTCCAGCCCCTGCCTTAATACAGATTTTAAGCATGGGGATTAAGAGGAAGGTGCAGAAGGAGGCAACACACGCACAAGCACGGGGATGCATTTCTCCAAGAAATCTAGTACCATTTATAACTAACATTTGCTAATAAAATTTTTTAAAGTATGCAAACAATATTCAATAAATCAATTCATGAAAATAAAATCCCCAAATGGGCATGGTGCCGCAGGACTTTAATCCCAGCACAGGGGAGACAGAGTAACAGGTGGATGGAGTTGGAGGCTAGCCTGGTCTACACAGCCACTGTCTCAAAGAAATAGAAAAGAAACAAAACATAAAGAAAACAAAACCAAGTCCCCAGGAGGAACACACCTGCCTATCTACAGATCCACTTTCTTACCCCCCACTGAAGTCTGGGGGGCGGCGGGGGGCACAAACTTCTTTCAGAGAGGAGAAAGGTGAGGCTCTGCCAGATTTCATTAGATTGTAGCAACTTTACTGGAAAGAATGGAGCAAGCTAGAGCCCCCTCGGACTCTGGGTTGGTAGCGTCTGTACACGTGTCTGTCAGAGAGTTACAGGAATAAAGTGACAGGGGTACAGACAGGGAAAAGGGGAACTTCAGAAAATCAACCCCCACCCCCAACCCACCACCAGAACCAAGAAATCCTTCCTTCCTGTCTGCAGCCACATGGGGTTTGGGACCTAGTCCAAGCTGAAGGGAAGAGATGAAAAGTGTTGGGGTATGGACCTGCAACCAAACGAATGCATGGGGCCAAGGCCCAACAGAAATATGGATACATACAGAAGGGGGTCAAGATGACCCCAAGGGAGCTTACGAAGCTTATAAAGAAATAAGAAAGCAACATTCACATTGGGCATGGTAGGGGGCAAGCCTAAAAAGCCCAGCACTTGAGGCAGAGGTGGCACCCCTTCAAGGCCATCCTTGGTATGTAGCCTGTACTACACGAATCTCAAAAAAAAAAAGAATGCAGGGCTGATGAGAAGGCTCAAAGGGTAAGTGCACTTGCTACTAAGCTGAAGACCCCAGTTCAATCCCCAGGGCCCACTCAGTGGAGAGAGCAGACTGGTGAAAGTTGTCCTCAGACCTCCACATGAGTACCAAGCCATGTATGCATGTTCACACACACACAGACACCCCCCCCCCCACACACACACACCAAGACCAGCCTAGTTGACACATTGAGCTCCAGGCCAGCTAAGGCTACAGGAGACCATGTCTCAAAAAAAAAAAAAATTTTTTTAATTACTGTTTTTCCTTCTTTTTTGAATTCAACCAGGCTGGCCTCAAACTGGTTATATACCAAGAATGGCCTTGAGGGCGAGCCAAGTCTGCAGCCAGAATCCTGGGCTTTTAGGCTTGCCTCCACCATGCCCAATGTAAATGTTGCTTTCCTATTTCTTTATAGCTGTAACAGTTCTAAAGTTTCTAAGCTCCCTTTGCATCATCTAGACCCCTTCGGTAAATATAAATCCACCTGCCTTTGTCTCTTGAGCGCTGAGATTAAGTTTTTGCCACCATGCCCAGATAAAACTTTTTCAAGCAAGCAGTAATTAGGGTTTAAAGAAACAGCTTAGCAAGAGCACTGGCTGATTTTGTAGAGGATCCCGAGTTCAGTTCTCAGCATGTACGTGGTAAAATTCTATTATTAAAGGGATCCAGACACCCAGTCTAGCATGGTGGCATTCACCTTTAATCCCAGCATTTGGAAGGCAGAGGTAGTAATCTCTGAGATCAAGGCCAGCCTGGTTTACATGAGCTCCAGGCCAGTTGGGGTTATAGGGTGACCCCGTCTCAAAAACAAAAACACTTCCCAACATTTGGTGGTCTTGGATGTGGTAGCTAGAGATCAGGTGTTCAAGGCCAGCCCAATACTTGAGACACTGCCTTAGAAGTACCTTAGACTCCTCATGGGAAATCTCCATACAATTCTGATGCTATCATTTGGTCATACCTAGTTTTAGAACTTGCACGGAAGGAAATGATTCATGGCATGGGGGTATGATTCCTGTGGTAGCACGCTACCTAGCATGCAGGGAAGCCCAGAGTTCAGTCCTCAGCACTGTATAAGTCAAACATGGCTGCTCAGAAAGCCAGATATTTCTGTGCCCTATAAGGAAATCAGATCAGGTTTGAAAGCTGCCAGTTCTACTGGTCTAGGATACTGGCACTCCCTAAGTACATTATGTTTGCATGAATGAGTACTAACCACAAATTAAGACAAAAAGTTTTTATTCAAAAAATGCCAAGTATAAAAAAAAAAAATAAGATCTCTTTTTATTCCCCTGTACAGTATTTCACTCAGATAAAACCAGCAGGCTACATGCTGCTCAAAGCACAGCCCCCAGAGAGGATCCGGAAGGCACGCTGTCAGGGGCGGCAATCCTATGTACACCGTCAACAGCGCCCTCCCCAGCCACAGAGCCCAGACCCATTCTGTAACTAGGCAAGGGGCCCCACAGAAGTCAGGGAGCTACAGCAGCTGTCCCGCCTGAGTCCCATCACCCCACACACAGAGCAAGCGTTGCAGCCCTCCCTTTATAAAAGGTCCCCAAGTCAGAGGAGGTGGAGGAAAAAACCAATAGGGGTCCTAGCCAGTGGAAGCTCAGGGCAGGAAAGGAACCAAATAAATAAATAAATAAATACATTAACACCGACTTCCAGGCCAGACTGCACACCTTTCAAAGAAAGAAAGAAAACCAACAGGTCAAATAACTTAAAGGCAATTAAAAAAAAAAACAAAAAACTACAATCGTTTTGCAGACTATCTTGCCGACTGTACACACATTTAATTTACAGCTTGTCTGTAGATTTGCATTGTTTGTGCATTGTATGTGTGAGGTCTTGGCTTTGAAACAGTGAAGTAAAAACCAAAAAGGAAGACCAGTTCACTTGGGAGTTTTACTAAAGGAGGCAGAAAAAGGGCAGGTGGCTCAGCGATTGGCCCCGTAGCCTCTTCCATGGCACCTTTCACAGGAAGGGGAAGCAGGGGAGGAACAGGGCAGGAAAAAAGGAACCAAACCCAGGCAGATTTTTGGAGAAGCAGCAGGTAAAAGAGGCAAGTTCAAGTATTTCTCCCAGCACAGCCGGAGTCCCCACAGAAGGCACTCAGAAGAGGTGACAGGGACTTAAAACATGGTGCTAGTCCTACCCCACACCCCAACATGTCCCCCTACCCAACCCATGGTGGCAGAACTCAGTGATGATGAACAGTTCATGGCAGGGTTCTGACCCACCCCCACACCCCACCCAGGTGTTCCGGAGGAGCCCAGCAAACCACTGGACACCTTGGGTGAGAGCATCTACAGGAGTTGAGGCCCAGGACGCCTGTACTAGAGTCTCTTCTCCCCACAGGAGGTGGACTCCAGGGACCTGGAGTCTGGAATGAGCTGTTGCTGTTGGTTGTTCCTGTATGAAGCAATGTCCTGCTGGAAGCTGGAAACAGAAGCATCCCCTCCCCGGCACCTTGCTAGGGAGGGGAAGACCTGCCAGAAAGGCCACTATTTGCTGGGCGATGGTGACAGGCTGTGCAGATGAATCTCAGCGGTTTCTTGCGGCAGAAGGACATCCTGCATCCATGGATGGTTCTGGATTTCTTCGAAGGATGGCCGATCTGATGGTCTCAGGGCCAAGCACCATCTAATGAGATGCTGACATTCTGCAGAAAGCAGAGGTTAGGGATGACTCAACTTGTTTTTGCAATGCAAAGAGGCCTTTCCAATTTGCTTCCCAGAGCCCACAAGTCTGGGGTTTTTAAGGAGGCCTGTACTTTTTATGGAACACTGCTGGGCACTCTTCAATGGGAAAATATGAACTAACAATGAAAGTCTCCTGTCTGCTCTCAGCTAAAAAGTGGCTCCCCTTTTAAACTTGTGGTTTTCAAACTTCAATAGCTTGGGCCTTTCCCACGACACCCACTCACTAGAAATAGGAACAGTGATGACAAGAGTTTTGATGAACATCAATGCAATGTGATGTAGTGATTCAATTCACCTACCAACTTACAAACACTGACCCCGCCCAGAGTGAGGTCACCAGGACCACAATATTTAGAGCTATTCCCTAAAGGGGAGATGACTTAAAGAGGTGTGTGTGTGTGTGTGTGTGTGTGTGTGTGAGCTCACTGCAAAACTGCCAGGAGTTGAGAGATAGGTCTGCTGGTACTTAAACTTTGCAGAGTCTGGGTGTGGGGGTGTATGTGTGTGTTGACCAAATCAAAAACTAAAAAAGCTGAGACAGGAGGATTCTAAGTTCCAGGCCAACCTCGGCAAATTCGTGATTTACTGACATCCTGTCTCAAAAATAAAGAGCCAGGTGTGGTAGTACACACCCTTAATAAGGAGGGAGACGAAGGTAGATCTCTGAGACCAGCCTGGTCTACATGGGGAGTTCTGGGCCAGCCTGGTCTACATAGTGAGACCCTGTTTCAAAATAAATAAGTCACCAAATTTAGTGGCATATGCATATCTTTTAGAGAGAGGCAATTAAGTAAGCCAATTTGAAGCCACCTGGACTATGCTGGGGGACTTTGTCTATTGTGTTCCAACCTCACTAGGAAAAGTCAAATGGATCCCTGGAGCCTGTGTCCTAGGATTTTGCTGAGGAAGGCCCAGGATGCTCCTGGAGAGTGGAGTTCTCTGCTCCACTGGCCATTAGAGCAAAACTGCAACCATGTGAACCCTGTTCACACATGACAAGGGGCTCCGGAGGAAATTACCTGAAGAGACTCTCTGCCTGAAGAAAACTTGACCTTTGACAATTTCTTCATCGTGCTCAAAGGGAATATCCCCACACACCATATCATAAAGCAGGATCCCCAGGGACCAGACGGCTGCCGACCTGCCATGGTAGCGATGGTAGCGGATCCACTCTGGAGGGCTATACACTCGGGTCCCTGAGAGCCGAGGGAATAGGAGAGAGCACGCCATTAGTAAAAATAAACACAAAGCAACTAGGTGAACCACCTTCCTTTAAAATCATTTCTTAAAACTTGCCGTCTCTCCACCAGCCCAAACCCTTACAAACTGCTCCAAAAGGCAAACACCACTGGTTCTAGAAGCAAAGTCTGAAGCCCTAGGCGGCACGGGCCACCTGCAAAGGGATGAAAGCAGGCACCCAGCAAGGCAGGTATCCTGACCCTGTCTGGAAAGGATCTTGCCAGATGAGATTCTCTAGACCTATCAGGTGAGGATCCTTGCACAACACAACACCCTAGTCAGGGTGCCCTTTAGGAAGCCTTCCTTCCCACCCTGCCTGAGCAAGGGCAAGACACCCACTCTTTCCTCCCTGGGATTAGAAAGGTGGAGTTGCAGGGCTGGTTTCAGACCACGTGATTCCTGTTTACAAACTTTGGGTAGTAAAAAAAAAAAAAAAAGAAGCTATGCTGATGGTACCCGCCAGGGGGCAGCAACGACTTATAGAGAAGAAAAACACAGACACACCAGGAGGACCCAGCCAGCCATTAACTGTTAAATACAAAAATGCAGCCCAGCCCCGCGTCCTCCAAGGGTAAATAAACACAAACCACAGGTCCGAGTCACCAGTTCTTAAAGGCCGTGGTTTGTTAGGATAAGCCACTCGGAGGATGACCCACCCTCCCTAGCTTTGATCTCCCGGCCCTTCATTCCTTTTCAGCAAGGACGCTCCAAGCCCCTCCCTATGATCAGTTTTCATCCTCCCAGAGGAGACACCCAACTAATTTTCAAACCAGCAACAGATCTTATTTCACAACATTCATTCCAGGCTCCGTCATCCCACAATGCCCCCCCAAAAAAGAAAAAAAAAATGGTTAAACTATTAATCCTATTCCTTAGCCCTCCATGGAGGGGAAAAAAAAAAAAAAAAACCGGTAGAGACTACTTTAAACTCTCTTCCAAAACAAAAAAAGAGCAAACCGACATCAATGTAAATCTCTCTCTCCCGCCACCACCCTATTCCACCTCCTTTTTTTTTTCCTACTGAAGGGGAAGAAACTGGGTCAGACTTTGGAAATCTGGGCTACAGCTGGTTGCCCACAATCTCTTATGAACCGGGGGAAGCTTGGAATTCACTGAATTCCACTGAAAAAAAAAAAAAGATACAACCACGCCAGAAATGTTACAGGTTCAATTGGCTTGAAATCCCGGCTGTATTCTGCCCCACCCCTGCCAGCACCGAGCCAGGCGGCCCAATGACCTTTACAAAGGGCTGTGGAGCCCCGGCCGGCTGAGGCCTCCAAGGCTACCCCCCCAGGGGGGTGGGGGATAAGGGTGGAGGGGGGCACCGGGTCGGGGGGCGGCTTACCATCGAAGTCCGTGTAGACCGTGTCCTTGAGCAGCGCCCCGGACCCGAAGTCGATGAGCTTGAGCTCGCCGCGGTTCAGGTCGATGAGAATGTTCTCGTCCTTGATGTCCCGGTGCAGCACCCCGCAGTTGTGGCAATGCCGCACGGCCTCCAGCACCTGCCAGAAGAAGCTGCGCGCCAGCTCCTCTTGCAGGGCTCCCCGTTCCGTGATAAAGTCGAAGAGGTCTTGCACCGGGTCCGGCCTCTCGAGGATGAGCACGAAACTGTCCGGTCTCTCGAACCAGTCCAGAAGTCGAATGACGCCGGAGAAACCCGAGCTAACCTTCTTCAGCAGGACCACTTCCATAGGCACTCGGGTGCCATTGGGCTGCAGGGGCGGGGGGCGCCGGTGAGGACCGGAGTCGGGGCACGCCATCACCCCACTCACTCACGTACCAACACATCTATTCACTCATCCATCCACCTGTCCACCCATCATCCACCCATCCAACCCACCCACCCATCCATCCATCCATCCATCCATCCATCCATCCATCCATCCATCCATCCATCCATCCATCCATCCATTGAGGGTCGCGCGCTCCCAGCCACTCACCAGCTCTCCCCAGTCGGAAATCCGGTCCTTCTCCACGTGTTTGATGGCCACCTGGAAAAAAAAAGGGAGCCCCGGAGCCTGCATTAGACCCTCCCGACCTCTAGTCCAGGGCCAAAGCATCCCCCCCACCGTGCGCCCCAACCCCACGCCGGGCGCCCACTCACCGGCAAGTTGTCGGCCACACGGATGCCGGAGTAGACGGAGCCGAAGCCGCCGCTGCCCAACAGCGGACCCACCTGGTACTGCGACTCCAGGGGCTCCTTCTCTTTGCCTAGGGAAAGGGAGGCACCAGACTCTCAGAGCCGGTCTTACGGGACCGGGGAGAGAGGGGGTCCCGCCGCCGAGCTCCTCGAAGCCTCACTATCCCGGCCGGCCGGCCGGGCTGGGCGGGGACACTCACCCGGCGCCAGCTTGGGAGCGTGCAGGTCGTTGCAGGGCGCGGCGCGCAGGTGGGCCAGCGAGTTGATTTTGGACAAGAGCATCTCCACCTCCAGGGTGTCCGCGCGAGGAGCGTGCCGCGAGGAGCAGCAGCGGCGGCGGCGCGGGGAGCTGGGGCTGCGCCGGCGGCCGGGACTCAGGCTGCGGGTGGCGTTGCGGCTGGGGCTGCGGCTGGCGCGGAAGGCCGAGGGCGAGTCTGAGGACAACTGAGGGCGCTGGCGGGGCTGCGCGCCCGTGGGGTCAGGCGGCGCCCGTGGAGAAGGCGGCGGCGGCGGGGTGAGCGGCGCCGCGGGACCCAGGGCTGGAGGCTGCTACTGCTGCTGCTGCGGCCGCTGCTGCCTAGGACACTGCCGAGCCCAGCGCCGGCGCCGCCGACTCCCCTCCGGCCTCCTCCGCCACCGCGGCCGCTGCAGCAG